AATTTTTGCAACATTACGGCGGCCAGGCCTCTTGTAAAACAACATATCTTTATGTATATGTGTATATATGAATGAGGAAAACACTCTACCGTGTTGATACTATGGTTGTGTGTGTATATATATATATATATATATATATATATATATATATATATATATATATATATATATATATACATATATATATATATATATATATATATATATATATATATATATATATATATACATATATATATATATATATATATATATATATATATATATATATAATATATATATATATACACACATATATATGAATATATATATGTAATACATCTATCTATCTACCTATGCCGTATATATCTATACAGATAGTTATTAATGAACAAACAAATGAATAAATGAATAATATATGTATGTATATGTGCTTATATTTATGTGTGTGTGTGTGTATATATATATATATATATATATATATATATATATATATATATATATATATATATGTGTGTGTGTGTGTGTGTGTGTGTGTGTGTGTGTGTGTGTGTGTGTGTTTTATATAGGTAGATAAATAGATAAATAAATAAATGAATAAATAAATATATATATGTATATATATACGCACATGTACATATACATATATATATATATATATATATATATATATATATATATATATATATATATATATATATATAGATATGTGTGTGTGTGTGTGTGTGTGTGTGTGTGTGTGTGTGTGTGTGTGTGTATGTATATCCATATTCATATATTATATATACATATACTGATTTCGGTTTAACGTCACGAAACTCCCTTTTTGATCAAGGGCTAGGAAGGACATGAAGGACAGGCAGGAATTGGCAGGTACATATATTTTCATGTATATATGTATATATTCATATATATATATATATATATATATATATATATATATATATATATATATATGTATATATTCATATATATGTGTATATATATATATGTATATGTATGTATATATTTTGTGTGTGTGTGTATATACATATATATATATTTAACAGGAAAAGTAACACCAGCGCAGCTATGAACATCATTTTATTTCAGACGTTTCAAAGATTCTAACTTCATCCTCAGTGCTAAAAAAGGATTAAAAGAACCATAAACATATGTCAAAATAGCAAGAATTACAACATAGAATAAAAATTGCTTGTAAAACTGCTTGTATAACAGGCTAAACAAGCAATAAAAAGGGGGGGGGAGTTGTTTAAAGAAACCATAATTAAACGAGTGAAAAAAGGTAATGGTAAACAATGTAATTATTAACGGTAGATGTTTAGAACAGTCTTTAAAATAAACGAAAAACATGGAAAGTATAGAAATCAAAGAACATAACACCATTATTATAATAACTTATATAGAAAAATCTGCACTCATTGTGTATGTAATGGGATGGCAGTTGTAGTACTGTTAGGGTCTGGTTTCACTCTTGAGATAAATACGGATTCTAAGGTGATGAGTCTATGTGAGGCATGTGAAAATCATTTTGTGTAAGCGGATGTCCAGTGGAATAGCAGTGTTCTCTGATGGCAGAGGGTGATGGTGAACTGAGCTGAATAACTGTACAGTAAGACTTTCCTATGTGTTTTAAGATATGGTGTTGTATAGAGCGTGTGGTACTACCCACATATCAGGAGTTGCATTTCGAACATTTAAAATGATAGACAACACAAGATCTCAGTGCAAATGATAAAGGTTTAGTATAATTCAAAAGAAAACGCATAGTGGTAGTTGTCTTGAAAATGAATCTAAAATCAATTAGGAGAATGTATCTTTAAAAATGTTTTGAAGTTCCTTTCTAATGTTATTTCTTAAATGCCCAAGGTATCGAAGTGTAATATAACATAGGTATTTTGCAACTGATAACACCGGTGTAGAAGGCGAGTGTTTCTCTTTCAAAAATGTCCTTAGTAATCTTAGTATATATTGTTAGGGTATTAATTCTCTGTGAAGTAATTAAGTAAGAATTTCATCTCTTTGTCAAAACTAATGTAATCAGAGCAGATCATGTATGTTTTGTTGATTAATATTGAAATACTTTAGAGTTTAAATAGTTTAGGGCAGAAGCTGAGTAGTTTATACCCAAACCAGTAAATGTGGGTTTCCTATAGACTGATGTTGGAAGCCTGTCATTCTCTTTTGTTATGAGGGTATCTAAGAATATGGGTTTTGAGTTTTATTCAATTTCATATGTTAACTTTAGATTAGGGTGTTTAGTATTTCGATATGAAATTAACTGTTCGACCTGAGAGCATTTTTTTTTTTTTTTTTGTAAGAGGAAATAGATGATCTATATATCAGCAGTCCATATTTGGTTTGAATTCATCGGGGTATTGATTTAACCATTCTTGTGTGTGTGTGTGTGATATATCATATGAATATAATATATATATTACATATATGTGTGTGTGTGTAGTAGTAGTAGTAGACATGACTTTCATTTGCCATCACGTGTGTAAATAGTTATATTTTCACCTTTTATATGAAAACTAGAAAATTAGTATAGTAAGAAGTTCTTTCTTTCTTTCTTTTATTGTGTTGTCATGAAGTGTATCAGAGGAAATGGTAAATTAATCTACATTAAGATTGTAAGCAATGAGAGAGAATGTCATCCATGTCTTTAATAACCTCTTCCAGCATGACGTTTACGAAGATTTTTCTAAGCCCTTATTACGGATCTACCGAGAGGACACTCACTGACCACTCTTTAAAAGGTACACATATATGGCAAGGTAATTCGCATATGACAAACGCGATTCTCTCTCTGTCTCTGTCTGTATGTCTCTCTCTCTCTCTCTCTCTCTCTCCTCTCTCTCCTCTCTCTCTCTCTCTCCTCTCTCTCTCTCTCTCTCTCTCTCTCTCTCTCTCTCTCTCCTCTCTCTCCCTCTCTCTCTCCCTCTCCTCTCCTCTCTCTCTCTCCTCTCTCTCTCTCCATCTCTCTCTCTCCCTCTCTCTCTCTCCCTCTCTCTCTCATCCCTCTCTCTCTCT